TTCCAATTTTCTGTTTCACCAACTTTATTGATCTTCTATATCCGTTTGTTGTTTTGTTAAACACGTTCATTAAACATTTTAGTTGCATCAATAATAAAACTAATATAATATTAAAAATGTATTTATCAAACACTGAGACTTTATTTTCTTTCAGCAACTCATAACATTGTGTTTTTAGGCTCATAAACTTATTTTAGCTATACCAACTTGTTTATTCCGAATATTCACACAAACACAAGTAATATTGCAGCTAGATGTCCCTAATTTTCAACTGATAGACTAGAGGGAAGGCAACTACTTAATAGCACCCACCATCAATTCCTTGGCTACTCTAATCAAATATTGGGATTTGACTGTCACACTTATTATTCACACCCACAGTCCCAAAGTGCAGAGCAAGACTTTGCAGTAATGGTTTGCGAGTCATGGACTCTTGAAGTCACAGGTCGACACTCCAGGCTCAAATATTTTATGAATGTCAATACACTGCATTACGTAAACATTATTAGAAACACCAACGACCTTTATTAGATATACAAGAACCAAATGCCAACTAATAATCATCAAACATAGATGTTGTAGTAAACCTCAAGCTGAGGGCAGGTGAGAACTTAAGCACCCCCCCATTAGGAAACTGTTGAGGGGAGTTTTTAAGGTCGTTCTATAAAATGCTTTTATCATACTTCTTCCATGCATGTAATTATATATGTTAATGGATGGTTTCAGTGATTTGGCCCTGAAACTTCACGGGTGAAATGACACCTCTGCCCCCTGATGCTCATGTTGATTAAGTATTTCGACTGATGAAATTTTCTGAATTTGTCATCACTGTATCCTATCCAAGGTTTGGCCAGAAGTGAAATGCTTCTCTCCTGAAGTAGAAATAGAACTGCATCAATCACTCTTTAACCTCTTTTAATACTAACTAGCTGAAATACCCATTCAATGCACAGGGAAGACATAAGGGATCCCAGGGGGATGGATCAGATCCAAAACTTAGCCCCCATATCCCTTCCTGTAACAGTACTTGCCAGATATGGTGACAATTGGTCCAGCAGTTGGCCAGTTATAATTGAACACAATGGACGGATATAATTGAACACAATGGACGGAGTGACATAGGAACCCCTGAATGTGACACAGGGGAAGGGGGAGGTCAAATTCGAACAACGACCTTCAAGGGTACATGTCAGGTTTGGAAACACTTTGCCCAGTTATTAACTGACACATACACAAACTTTTGTCAAATAATGTGGAAGATAGATATAGGTCATAATGTGAGGGTTAAAGATACAAATTATACATTAACAGCTTCTAACTTTGTAAAATAGGCTCATTTTTATATATTTTCTCACAAACTGTCTGTTTGGTTATGAAACAAAAATATTAACTATGAAGGAAATGTCATAATTTTCTCATAAAAGAGGACATGCCATGAAACTTAACAATTTTGATGAGTTCACTTAACAGAAATGTTTACTCAAAGCTGCTCAGAAGTGAATAATGTATCATGTTTTTATTAATAACAACCAAAATACACATTTAATTAAATAAAACTTCCAAGTTTCAACCCCATTTTAGTATATCTATACTGCATATCATTATACATGTACAAGAGCTCAAGTTTTTTTTTGACATATATTTATGACTACATTTCATCCTAATTGGAAGCAATAAAATAATAAATACAAGTCTTTTTGTTAAATAATTTACACTTTTATGATTCACATTTTTGTAAATTAAAGAATCATTTTGAATATTTGTCAGTCACATTGATTTATTCAGAATCAACTAATTAATAATATATTCTTTAAATTTTGTACATATTTTATAAATTTAATGCAAAAAGCATTAAGCTATACATAGATAAGTAGGATTTTCGAAAATGTGACATTTAGGGTGAGGAAGTTGTCTAGTCTAACTAGGCAATAACATCTCATTTGTTAAAACCACTGGTTAATTCTGGGTTTGTTTTGAATTTTGTGCAAAGCTACAAGGGGGGCTATCTGCACTAGCCATCCCTAACTTAGTAGTAAAAGACTAGAGGAAAGGTAGCTAGTCATCACCCCCCACTGCCAACTCTTGGGCTACTCTTTTACCAACAAATAATGGGAATGATTGTTACATTATAATGTCCCTATGGCTGAAAGGGCGAGCATGTTTTGTGACCCACAGATTGTGAGTTGAGCACCCTAACCACCTGGCCATGCTAGGCCCATAATTCTGGATTTTAGTCCTAGTTACATTTCATTACTGAGGTCCATTGGAACAGTTAATTACAATGTTTATGTGTTGCCCCTTCAAAAAGGCAGTTGCTTCAGAATGATGGCTGATTTTGGTTGTTGACTTAGATATATTGAATAACTATTATAAGGTGTTATATTGGCTAAGAACTACTAGTTGATGTTGTATCACTGTTGCTTGGAGTTTTCTAATATTATGGATCTGCTGTATGGCATTTTATAGGGATGTAATAGTAACTTAAAATTGCTGGTTGATGTTTTAATTTTATTGCTTAGGAATTCTAGTTAGTGTTTTATACATATTGGTTATTCATTGCAGGAGAGAAACTGATATTTTATAGTCTGTAGAACTGGCCCAGGGCTGTTGGTTTATGTGTTAATAGTGATTTGTTACTGTATGAATGAACTGGTGTTTCATCTAATAGATTCTCAGCTTTGTGGTTTGGCAAATATAAATGTTATAATATGCACATATTAACATACACACAAAGTAATTAAAATGGGAAAGTTTTCCATTAACTTCACCACTGAAACTGATATGCAATAATCAGATGAACCTTAAACAAATGTTGGTCTTATCTATCATGACAGAGTTCAGTTAAATATACTAAATTACAAGTACAGAGGTATCAAATATTGAATTTTATCTTGCAAGTAAAAGGCTTAATATATACAATTGATCCTGTATACCTATTTATTCAATGTGAAACCAACCTTCGAGTAAGTTCCATAAATATTTTTAGGTTTTTAATCTTTAACTTTTACCGAAAGTGACCAAGTGATAATTTCATGCAGAATTTTGCTGACATAATTAAACACATACTTTATGAAACAAGTTATAATTATATGCTTTATCCTTACTTTCAGTTTAACTAACTGCATTAATATAGAGGCCTTTCAAAAGTCACTTATGCTGTTCAAAGGAGTGTGTTAAGGAAATAGGTGGATACAATGATGTAAAACTTGGTGGGTAGACCAATCTGACCATGCAGAAGACAATGTACATAATGTAGTGACTTGTTCAAAACTACTTGAATATGATTTGGGAAAAATAGATTTTTATACCCATAGGTAACATGTAGGGTGAAAATAATGTCATCATAATACATCACACAACTGGTCTTCTGCAAGATCAAATTGGTCTGCATGCCAATTTTCAGAACATCATCTCCAATGGTAATAGTAGGAGTGACTTTTGAAACACTTAGTAAAAATTAAGTAAAACTGAAAGCAATAGTTCTAATTCAAATATACAAGTTAAATATCACCAGTTTCAAAATGACAATATACTAATCAGCTTAAAGAATTGTGAAAAGTATGTTATTTTGTTGAACAACTGATTATCTGATCATGAATACTTATAGCACATAGGGCAGGAGCTTGTTAAATCTAAAAAAAAAAAAAAACAACTGAAAATGAAAACTGAGAATTAGGATCTTTACACAACTAACGGTAGAATGTATTGCATTTCAGAAGAACTTTAGGCAGAGTAAGCATAACAAGTTAGTAAATTTTAATGGACAGCAAATGTCTTGAAAATTCAAGAAGGTCTCAGTACAGAATATGAAATGTTGTCCCTTTTCCTTTCAACAGGCAGTTGCAGTCCATTAAAGTTCTAAAACCTAGAATTTATTGCATTGCAAGAGATGCCACCAACTGTCTAGTGTTATACAAACTGTCAGTTTTTTCTTTTTTTGAATGTAAATCTTACCTATGATGACTCAATACTATGGGTCAAAACTTGCCTACTGTAAAAGATGCTATTATTGTATATTTGAATTAACTATTCAATTCAGTTGGTTCCTCACTAAACATTAACCATCAGTTTGCATTACACGAGGCACATGGTAGCATCTCTTACAATGCTTTAAAAACATAATGTAACCGAAAGCAAACAAAGAATACCAAATGTTTAAATTGAGCGAGGATATGAAACCTAAGAAATATTTTTAAACATATTCAATGCAACTAACTTGTCTAACTAGGTACTTTGGGAATAATATTTGGTTGATAAATTTACTTTATAAAGAGCAAACAATCCTAAGTTATTTACTCTCATACTTCAGTGAAATATAGCTGAAGAAGTTGCATACGAATAAAAATGTGTTTTTATAACTTTGATATTCAAACTTAACAGTTAATATGCATACAAAGTAAAGAAGTTTTAACCAACTCTCCAATTTTTAATGTTATGTATCTTGAATATGAAATTATAAATTTAAATATTTAATGCCTTATATCTCTTACATGTAACACAGTATGGAAACACACTTCATGGATCACTCTACACATTACACAGGAATGATAAGTATCATATATGAAGAAAACGTGGAATGAAAAAATAAACATCATAACCTAAAAGTAAAAGCTTATGGAAAGTACTTTCCTCAGGGATAAATCACCTATATGGTATACAAAACCTATGCTGGTAAATGACAACCTATAAGTCAGTAGTTTGTGAAATATTACATAAGAATAAGATTAATAATCATTTTTAACAAATCTTTCTTTACTAGCCCTATAATGTTTCTTGGTATTGAGCTAGTAAAAACAAAGAGTTTTTCAAAATGATTATTAATCATACTGTGATGCAGTATCACATAAATTACTGATTGATAAACTATTTACCTTTCATAATTATTCTGGTTATTGGATTTCTGTAGAGAATATGTAACAAAACTACTACTACTACTCATGATAACCACTGAGAAACTATACTGTACACCCATTATCAAATGAGAAAAAACACAAAGAAACAACAATGAAATGCCTTTATTTTTTATGTTCAGATTATAGTTGTATTAATATACTCTATTTAAATAATACTTACCAATTTCACAGAAATTGATGGTAAGAATCTTAAACTGCCACAGTAAATGACATCAACCCATCAGACAAAATATTTTTTACCAACAGTAAAAAAAGCTGACTTTTTTAAGGAAGGATACACATACCAAGAAATCAATGCAACATTCAATCTGAACTCTTAATCAACTATATACACTTAGGGAAGAAAAATAACAAAACAGGAAAAGTCATTATTACTCAGTTCCAACAATTGACAGGGCCTGAAGAGAAGCAAATCTTTTCTGCTGTTGTTCTTCTGAATTTAACTTTCTTTCTCTCTGTTGCTTGCAAGTGTCCATAAGGCTGTTGAATAATCTTGTCTCATCACCCCAAAAACTGATTTCTGATTTTATCAGTGCTTCTAGACATGGCTGGAAAAAGTCAATTCTTCCATCATATACCTGTGGTATTTCCTCTTTCAAAGATGCAACTTGTCTTTTGTAATCTAGAAACATGTTTTCTAAATCTATTTTAGAATGTTCCAACTTCACTACATATTGAGCAGTTTTAAACTCTTTCTCTTGCAAAGATTGAACTTTTTCTTTATTCTTCATACAGATTCGAAGAGTTTGGTCTCTTTTGCGAGTAGCCACTCGTACTTCTGAAAACACACCAGAAAACCTTTTAACTGGTTCAACTACGGTTTTGTGAACCAACATTACTAATTCTTGAGATGCTTCATCTGCTCCACAATTAAATGAATGCCACTCCTCCACTAATTTTCGAAGTTCTTCATCTTGTTGGCATAAACTGGAGTTTGACAAATCTGCTGTCATCTTTTTCTCACATCTATTGACACTCAGTGTTAAATCACTAAACTTTTTTGCATCTTTTGATAACTTCTTAACGCAATCTTCCAGATTGACAAGTTTATTGATATAACTATTCAATTCTGCTTCATCCCCATCAAATGAAGGAAGTTTCAAAGGTGCCCTTCCACCACCACTCGTGCGTCTTCTTGACGATAACGGGTTCCAACTTGACATGATAAAAAAATTAATCAAATAAATTCATGCTTAACATTGATTTAGGCTAAGTCCAATATTATTACCATGTTTTGTTACAAATTTTCTTATGCAACTGTCAGTATGCTAAAGATTCTAACATCCTATGCTTCCTCACCAACAATGAATATTCACTACCACCTAGTGCACACTAGATAGTGTGATTTTCCCGTCAGGGGACGTATAAATAAAGGCAAAATTAATTTATATATTTTCGTATATTGAATAGGTATAATTTTGAGTTATATAACTAAAAACCAAAACATTGTATAAATATTAAAATATTTAGATCCATGAATAAATACATTAAACAATATTTACATTATTTTTGTAAGCCATTTATTAGAATCTATTATAATAATACTTAGTTTTTGTATAATTGAATAGAGTTGTTTAAACAAGTTCTTCTACAAAAGTTCTTCTTCATCGGTTTCATTCAATACTGATTACATTAATTAGATAATCAAAATATATACTGAAGAAATAATAACGAATTTTGAAGATTTTGAGATATCCAGTTTAAAGAAGAATTTTTGGAATTAAAAAAAAAACTGGCACAACAACACAAATGTAGTTCATTTATGACACCAATAATTTAAATAATTTATTATTATAAATAAATTAATTCATTTATCAACGCAATAACTGCAATAAAAGGTATTTATATAACAGATGGAATGGGCTTAGCATAGCCTGATGTTTAATACGCTCGACTCGCAATCTGCGGGTTCAAATCCCGTCATTGAACATGTTAATTCGCCCTTCCAGCCGTGAAGGCGTTATAATGTGATGGACAATCCCACTTTTAGTTGGTAAAAAGAGTTACCCAAGAGTAGGAGGTGGGTGGTGTTGACTAACTGCTTCCCCTCTAGCCTATCACTTCTAAATTAGGTACAACTAGCACAGATTGCCCCCGAGTAGCTAAGCGCGAAATTCAACAAACAAACAAGTAAATGAAATGGCATAAGTCAAATCAAAGTGGAATAGTAAATTATCAAACAAATACATAATGTGTTACTGAGTTCATTCAATGAACCGTTATTCATCTTTTTCCAATAAATATTAGTTTAAGAGTAGTTTATATCTTACCACATCATTCACCTCTGTGTCGTGCCATTCTGAACTTATAAAATATAGCTGTAATCTGTATATAAATGTAAGATTTGATGACAGAAGATTAACAAACGAAATAATACATCCCAAATGCCATCAAGTGTTAGCAATGGAACACAAATTTTGTGTAGAGAACTACCGATTTTTCGATAACTTTTCTAATTTTTCATACAAATTCAAAATTTCAATGTTAAGATTTGTTTGTTTGTGATTAAGCAACAAGGATATCGAAACCAGGTTTTTTGGCGTTATAAGCATTCACACTTACTGCTGATCCACTGGGGAGCTTAATGTGAAGGTACATTATAATTTGTTATTTGCGCCATTATAATGTGTTAGTGTAATTTACAACTTAAATAAAATATAATTTTAAATGATACATTGGAACCTTCCAAACTATATGTATCCAGTTATTGTTCAATTGATTGTTTTTATAGCAAAGCCACATTGGGCTGCTTGCTGTGTCCGCCACAGGAAATCGAACCTCGAATTTTAGCGTTGTAAATCCGTAAATTTATTGCTGTCCCACATGGGACAGTTATGAGACATACATTTAACAAAAATCTTTCGGAAAGTAGACACCTTACTATTTCAGGGTGAATTGGAATTTTATTAGTTTTTGATCTTTCTTGTTTTTTAACTATCATGAATTCAATATATATCACATAATTAAAATCCTAAATCGGCCACTAGGACTTAGAAAAAATAAAGGATTTCAACAAAATGTAACTTCAACAAGATTAATTGATTTTTAACATCATCGATTTATTTTATCGAAACATAACACGAATAAACAACAAGATTCAGATTTTGTTCTATCAAAACTTAGCATTGCAATTCCATAAGTTAATACAAAATTTAAAAAAAAAGAATATAAAACTACCCAAGTAAGTTTGGTTTGGGCGTTCGACTCGCAATCTGAGGGTCGCGGGTTCGAATCCCCGTCCCACCAAACATGCTCGCCCTTTCAGCCGTGGGGGCGTTATAATGTGACGGCCAATCCCACTATTCGTTGGTAAAAGAGTAACCCAAGAGTTGGCGGTGGGTGGTGATGACTAGCTGCCTTCCCTCTAGTCTTACACTGCTAAATTAGGGCTAGACTTGTATTCAATATTTCTATAGATACAACCTAAAACCTCCCCACTTTCGATGATATTATGGTGTGGGTCTTCTGACCAATCTCGGCTTGGTTAACCAGTGGAGATGAGAAGAGGGTGCTGGTTATGATAGGAGTGGTGTCACACTCTTATTGTTGGAGAGCTGCTACATAGTCATTTGCATGTGGATATGTAAAAGTGGAAGATTAGTGGCATGCATTAAAAATTTGTATGGATAGAGGGTAGTGCTAGTTGAGAATATTCATTTTGTGGGAAGAGGTAAGTATATATCGAAATACATTTTCATTGTAGGAAAATGCTAACTTGTGTGTATATATATATATACACACAAACACACACACACATATATGTAGACATGTATGTACATGTTAATAATTTTTATTTTTAGATTTCTTTTTACATGCCTCATCTGAAAACTGTGAGAAATGTGATTGACCGTATGAAAAACTTGAGTTCTTATGTTGTAAGTATAGATCTTCTGTTTTTATCACACACACATTACCTGTTTAACATAGGGACAAAAAGACTGTCCCATTCTCTAAACTAAACTAAAACTATTAAATAAATAAATAGAAATAAAACTTCAAACCCAGCCTTTATCATTCATGTAGTTATCAGCTTTCTTTTAAACTCACTTAAATTCACTGCCTCTACAACATCCGAAGGTAATCTGTTCCAAAGGCCAATCACCCTGTTAGAAAAATAAAACTGCATTAACTGAAGATGTCTCCTACCCTTCCAAAATTTATGTTTGTGTCCCCTAGTCCTACCATTATCACCATTAAGTATTAAAAAAAGAGATGATGCATCAACACTGTTAATTCCCTTAACAATCTTAAACGCCTCAATCAGATCCCCTCTAACTCTTCTTTTTTAAAGAGAAAACAATTTCAGAGAACTTAATTTCTCATATGACAACCTCTCCATCCCAAGCAGAATTCTAGTAACCTTCCTCTGAATCCTTTCCCACAATTCAATGTCCTTCATAAGGTAAGGAGCCAAAGACTGAACACAGTACTCAAAACATGGCCTAACCAGTGACCTATACAATGAAATTATAACCTCTTTAAATATTTATTGGAAATACATTTTCAGTGTAGGAAAATGCTAGCTTCTGATACAATATCTTACCTCCGCTCACTAAATAGATATAATCCCACACCGAACTGGTGGAGGGCCGATAGAAAAAAAAAAAAGATCCCCCTTTAGGAAGCACCCAAAGAGAAACCAGGAGGTGTGGAACCAAAAGAGAAAACATTACACCTCAGCAGGAGACTGCACCACATTTCATCCATGTATACTTTTCACTCTTTTATGACTGTTGCAAACATAAAAGACAGAAAGATGTGAAGGAATCCCAGAATATGTATGACTGTTGAATGAGACTCCTGGGTGTTAAGTGACTAGGGCATGACAGACCGTAGTGGTAGTTTGACCTCATCCAACACTAGGCAGAGGATCACCTACCTCTTCACCTTGAAATGGGAATTGGTATGAAAGAGGAGCTTATATACCAAAATCCATCTCCACTTGCATGCATTTCCAACACAACCAACACCAGATCTGTCAGGAACCAACATATAGCAGACAGTAGGAAGAGGGACCACAAATCTGGAGTACATCTCCAGTCCAAAACCTGGTAGCAGTGGGCATTTATCATCCAGTCTGTGGTAGGAAAATGGATACCAGCCAGCCATATTAGGACTTATTGGAGCATCTCCAACCAACACCTGACCTATTGGGAATGTACATTTGGAGGATGGTAGGGAGGAGGAATGTCTCAGCCTGAGGGGTAAACTGCAGTAATAAGTGTGTATATATATATATATATATATATATATGTGTGTGTGTGTGTGTGTGTGACATGTCGGAGTGCTTCAACCAAAACCTGGCAGTACTAGGAACTGTACATCAGGTCCACAGTAGGAAGGGCATCATGCCATCTACACATGGTACTAATCGTGACCGTGCCATCTCCAACCAAAACC